GTGTACTACCTGGTATTCACCATCACAATAGCGTTCAAAACAGTTTCGCTGACACCCCTCCCCCACCCCCAAAATCAACTGTGCTTCATCTAGTCAACCTTCTCCCACCCCACCTCAAACCCTTGGCAACCACTGATTTTTTTTTCCCCTCTTTTTAAATTTATTTTTATAATATGTTTTTCTTGATTTCAGAGAGAGGAAGAGAGAGAGAGAAACGTCAATGATGAGAGAAAATCATTGATGGTTTGCTTCCCACACACCCTCTATTGGGAATCGAGCCTGCAACCCGGGCATGTGCCCTTGACCGGGAATCAAACTGTGACCTCCTGGTTCATGTGTCAATGCTCAACCACTGAGCCACACCGGCCAGGCATCCCTGAACTTTTTACTGTTTCTGTGGTTCTTCCCTTTCCCGGAATGTCATAGGACTGAAACAATAATGCAGTGGGTAGCCTTTCCAGACTGGCTTCTTCCACTTAACAGTGCATTCAAGATGCATCCATACCTCTTCACGGCTTGATGGCTCACTCTATTTTATTGCTGAGTCATACTCCCTGTATGGATGTGCCACCCTGTGTCCATCTATCCCCCTCCTGACAGACATCTTGGCTGCCTCCAGGCCTGGGTGGTTAGGAATAGAACTGCTGGGGACATTGGCGGGCAGGTTGGGTCAACACCTAAGGGTCCCACCGCTGCGTGGTGTGTTAAGAGTGCGTGTAGCTTTGTCAGAAACCACCCCGTGTCTTTCAAAGTGACAGTGGCCTTCTGCCCTCCCACCGGAAGTGCCAGGAGAGAGCCCTTGCTGGCAGCCAGCGGTGGGCACCGCCCGGTGTTTGGACTTGAGTTAACCCAGTAGCTGTGCAGGGACGAGGGCTCGCTGTGATTTTACGTTGCAACCCTTCATAACCAGCGACGCCGAGCCCCTCGTCCTACGCGCGTGGGTGCGTCCGTATAGCGTTGGGGTGACGGGTCTGGTCAAACCCTTTGCTCGTGTTTAAAGGGTGGTCTGTGTGTTTCTTACCATTGGATGCTCAGGGTTCTTTGCATGATCTCCCGTATTTTATTCTTGTCTCTGTCCTACTCCCGGGGCCAGCTCCCTCCCTGCGGCCCCTGCCTTCCTGCATCGGTCAGTCGCCTCCTGAGCTCAGAACACACGGAACGTCCCACCCCCCACCCCAACCTCCCACCGCCAGGCTCAGAGGAGGGCGTGGAAGCGGGCAGCTCCATTGAGCGGAGTCCAGTCTCCTCTCGATGTCCCAGGTCCCCTGGTGACCACTGCATGGGCCTCACCAGGTCCTGGGCTTGGGAGGCGCCCCTCCCCGCCTCTCAGAGAGGACTCCACACCCATTTCAGAGAGCGGCCTCCAGAGATCGGGACACTCTCACTCAGTGGTCCTCAACCTTCTGGCCCTTTAAATACAGCTCCTCATGTGGTGACCCAACCATAACATTATTTTCGTGGCTACTTCATCACTGTCATGTTGCTACTGTTATGAATCATCATGTAAATATCTGATATGCAGGATGGTCTTAGGCGACCCCTGTGAAAGGGTCATTCAACGGCCAAAGGGGTCGTGACCCACAGGTTGAGAACCGCTGCTCTCACTGCAGGGGTCCTTTAAGAGCATTTGTGTCGTTTTATACATGACCGTACCGAGACTCAGCTCGCGGGTCTTTCTAGGTGTTCTACCAGGAATGGGGAAACAGAGTTGGATATATTTGGGATTAAATGCAGTTAAACATTTAAAAAAAAATTTTTTTTTATTGATGCCAGAGAGGAAGGGGAGAGAGAGATAGAAACATCCATGATGAGAGAAAATCATTGATGGGCTGCCTTCTACACACCCCCTACTGGGGATGGAGCCCACAACCCGGGCATGTGCCCTGACCGGGAATCAAACCGTGACCTCCTGGTTCATGGGTCGATGTTCAATCACTGAGCCACGCCAGACGGGCAAACTTTTTAATTTCTTCAAAAGGCAGCAGCATCAGCATGGCACGGGAGCGTATGAGAAACCCAGACTGCCGGGCCCACTCCAGACCCGCTGATGCGGAGCCTGCGTCTCACAGAATCCTCCCCGTTGACTTGCTTGTTCGTCCAAGTTTAGGGACGCAGCTTCATTCAGGGACTTACCTGCTCATCTCTGAGCGGGTTCCATGGGGCAGGCACCTGCTCCAGAATGGACACCATACCGTCAATTACTCCGCCGGACATTGTGGGGGGGGGGGGGCGAGGTGGGGACCAAGGGAGGGGGCGGCTAGTTATACCATTACTCTACCTACTGAGACTCACTCCATGAAGAGTGGGCTTGCAAACCTGAGGCCTGAAGGATGGGGAGGCTCGAGCTGGGTTAAAGGCCTTGTGGACGGCGAATCCGTGTGCACCGTGGGTCACGAAGGAGAGGACGTCGCTGGCAAAGATCCCCAAACTTGTGGGATCCGGACCCCCTGCAGAGCATTTAGGGGGAGCGCAGGTCTGCAGAGCACTGTCCTGGAAGTTATGACCAACCCAATACCCAACAGGATGACGGAGTGGGAGCCGACACACATCCAGCTCTCCCGCCTGTCACAACGAAGCCCCTTCCAGTCCACCGTGCTACCCCGACCCAGGGGTCCCTGGGACACCCCCGCCACCCTCTCCCCGCCTCCAGGGTGACACGGAGAACCGAGGCCATGGGCACCCGGCTGGCTGCCGGCCAGGCTGGACACACATGCGAGTTGTTATTTCCACGGGGCAGCAAATTCTGGAAAATATGTGGTTGAGGAGCAACATAATTATCATCCTCTAAAATTAGGCGCCTAGTCTAAACAACCCCAAGTCTTCCTTCGGCAAGAAAACAAACAATGGCAGGCAGGAAGCCTGCAGCCAGGCCGGTCGCGTTGGCCAACAGACCTGAGCGTCTCCCCGCTGAGCTGAGAGGGCAAACAGCATGCAAAAATGTAAATATTACATTGTTTTTTTCAAATACCACCTATTCCATTCTCGCCCCGGCTGGCTGGCTGGCTGCCTCGCCCGCCCCCCCACCCCCCGCTTGGCACCGCCCGCCGGAGACCCTGCCCAGCCTCGATGCTTTGGCCGCGAAGCCCATGGACGTATTTTTCTTTTTTTTCCAGGAGCCATTATCGCAACTGCCGATGTAATAAGGCCCTGGTAGATGAAATTCACTTAATAACTCACCCCGCGTTGGCCATTGTGCACCCGGGTGCCTTCTCTCTGATTCCATTTCCCAGCACGAGGTAAGCGCGGCTTTCATCGTGCGCGCCGGGATTTATGGCAAACAGACCGCGTGACATGAAGTGAGCCGCACAATCCCTTCATTCAGCCTTTAATAAGGAAGCCCGGGAGAAATTACCCGGGCCGGTTTTCGGGTGACGGCACCAGAACGTTCTGGAGTCGGAGAGTGAGCGCCGCGCCTCCTTGTCAGCCCATTAAAAAGCAAAGCCGGCCTGGCACGATATTAGAACCATGTGTGAGCAGGAATGCCTCCCCTGGTAAGACATTCCACATACTGTCTCCGAGCCAGAGACTTTGGTGTTAGACTAATTTAAGCAGCATGTTGAAATCAGCACGCCGGGCTTTGATCATAAGGAGATCGTTTGTTACAAATTGAACTGACCCAGTCTCTCTTTCTGGCGGATCAGAACTCGGGATTTGTTGAATTAAATGCCTCATTTAGTGTCGTTTGCACATGAAAAGGAACGCTGCGGCTCAGGAATCTGATAGTGAATTTTTCACCTACCCAACAGGTTTACTTCTTCTTTTTTCTTTTTTTTTTATGACTTTTAAACCTAATCCATACTCAGTCCACACTGTTCCTCATCACCCCGGGGGCTGTTCAGAGTGAAGTTTTAAATCAACTCCCATGTTATTGGGGGCAGTAGCGGGGGTGGGGGGTCGGGGGGGGGGAGGCTCGGGGGCTGGGGGGCAGGGTAGTGGGGTCGCTGAGCCATCCCTGAATTATCAAACCATGTAATAAAGAACATATTGGAAGCCGGCGCCCCAGCAGAGGAGAAGAAGACAGGGCAGAAATACACCCACGAGTCCGCGGTCGTTATTTATTGTCTAAATAACCCAGCTTCCTTCCCCGACGACTGTGGGCACGGACGGCTAAGCGGTTTTGCAGACGGAGGATGCTGATACCGTTGCCAGTGGGGTCCAGCTGAGGGGGGTGGGGGGGGAGGGCACCCCGCCGACCGTGTCCACATATGGCTGCACTTTCTCTCCATTTTTGAAGTTATAATATCTCTAACTGTAGATAATGATATTATAAACTGTCATTTAGTGCATTTTAAGTGCATTACATACATGAAACAGAGCGAGAGGCCGGGGCTGCAGCCGAGGCCTTAACAAAAAACATCACGGCTCCAACCCACCGCGCGGGGGACAGGTATGGGGTTCGCCGAGAGCCCCCGTGTAGGACCAGATCGCCACCCGCACAGCCTGGAGACGGACGCCCAGGCGTCCGTTGCAGGCCCGGCCCAGACTGGGCGGCGATGACTTAATAGCAAGTCACTGGTCGTTATTAACACCCGGGTCAGCGGGCGGCGTGGCGGGATGGTTTCGCCGTTACATTATCTGGTTCCTCGGTAACGTGGGCTTCCATCATGGACCCCCTGTGGGTGGGAGGTGGGGGGACAATGTTTGTGAGCCCTCTGCCTCGGCCATGGAACAGCTCTGACATCTCCTCATTGCCGGGGAGGGGACCCCAAAACACCTATAATTAGGAGGAGGATTCTCTCCCAAGCCCTGGGTGCAGGTAATTCACAAACACCCTCACCTGCAGGCGTAAAGACTCCCCTTGCATGAGGATTGCCTTAATTTAAAAGGAGAATAAGAATTCGCGAATTATTGCTTTTGACGTTACTGTGATTGTGTGTCAGGGAAATCAACAGATGATTCCTGAGTCTTACGGGCATGAAGGTGAGGCAGATGCCACCCCCCCCCACCCCCCGCCAACCCCCACCCCCCGCTTTGGAGAGAGAAAATGGTGACGAAACAGATAACGATAATAAGTGTTTTATTGGTGAAAAAAGAAAGATCAAATCTTTAATGAAATCAGGATGGGCTTCGAGATGAACTCCGTCTGAACCCGCCAGGATTCATGGAACGTCAATTAAAACAATTTCAGAAGGGCCGCGGACCGCAAGGCGCTTGGACGTGTCATTAAAATGGAGCCAAATCTTAGCGCTGGGTTCCTAGCAGGACCCTGAAATGTGTGGAGGCCAGGGGAGGCGGGCAGGGGGCGCGGGGGCCTGGGGGGAAGGGGCGGGTCCCAGGCACAGAGTGAAGAAACCCGGTGGACGCTGGCTCCCAGGCGTCAGCTCACAATATGTAATTCTTAATCCACTGTTTTCACCTCCGTCCATATGGCTTCTCGGGCTGCTCTCTGGCCTTTGCAGGGCTGCAGTGAAAAAAAAACATTAAAACCCCGTGATGTTCAAAGCGTGGATGCTGTAGAGCAGGGGTTCCCCACATGGGCACACGCCCCGCGGGGGGGAGGGGGGGGCAATGTGATTTTTTAAGGGGGGCAATTCGGTGGATTTTTGGCATGTCTTACGGTTCCAGGGCCCTCATATACAGTATATAAATATGTATTGTGACATATTGATGCATTTCAGGTCCCTGTTATATGTTTGGAAACTTCATTTGCTATTTTTTCCTATCACTTCCTATTATTATTTTTAACAATTTCTTAGTGATTTCTTCCTCAATATGTCAACTGTCCTTTTATTTTTCTCTTTCATGGGTGCCATGTTCTTTGGAAGCTTGTTGAGACCAAGTGAACGGCCTTTCAGGCTTCCTCCACGCGAAGAGGAGTTCACTTTGTGAATAATAAGAATTCTATGTCACGGGGGGCGGGGGGCAGGGGGCAGGGGGGCGGGAGGGCATCAGGATGTCAGAGATGCTTCGGTGGGGCGTGGCCAGAAAAGGGTGGGAACCACTGCTCTAGAGCCACAGTCCGGGGTTCACAGCTCGCCCTTCCCTGCCCCCGGCTGTGTGCCTTGAGCAAGTCACGGCCCTCTGTGGGCTCCATTTTCCCAGCCGTAAAACGCGATGGCGACGGCACTTCCTCTCGGCTACTGCGAGGTTTTAAAGAGATCTTCCCAGTAGCAAAGCGCCTAACGCAGCGCCTGGCTCCCGACTGGCACCCAGACCTGCCAGCAAATCTTAATTAGGGCTGGAAATGAGGACCGTGACCTCCAGAAGCCCAGCCTCTCCTCCTAGGAGGCCAGGCCTCCCGCCAGAGGTGGCACCAGCCTGGTGTGACGGAGCGGAAGGTCTCCGTGGGGAATGCGGGGCGGGGGTGGGGGGGAGGAGGAAAGGGGGGGGGGGGGGCCAGGAGCTTCGCACAGGAACATCCTGGCTTGGGGCATGAGAGCCGGGGCGCCCCTCCTCAAGACGCCGGCATGGGAGATGGCGGCTGAGGCCTGGGTGATTGGGAAGACTCCGGTTCAGCCTCACTGCAGGCAAGAGAAAAGGAAAGAGGAGAAGGGAAGGAGGGAGGAAGAGGGGAGGAGGGAGCTCCTCTGGGTGACCTCTGACCCCAGCCCAGCTCCATGGTCTCAGCTCCCTGCAACCACCTCTCCCTGCCTTGAGCTGGCACCAATGGGCTTCTAGTCCTTGCCCACCAAAACGTGCTCCCTCCACCACGCCGAGCAGGCACAGGGAGGGGTTTTCTGCAGTCTGGCCAAGGCGAAGCCATGGTCACAGACTCCCGGTTCCATGGGGCACACTGGGGACAGGGTTTGCCCACAGCACCCCCACCCCCCATTTGCCTGCGAATCACCAACAGCAGACAAACCCTCACTCACCGGTCGGTGGAACCCACAGGCAGCTCTGTGTGCCTTTCTCTTCCCAGGCTCCCCCAGATCACGGGTGCAGACAGCAGCTCTCTGCCCAGCTCCCTCAATGGACAGTTCCTGGCTGACTCAGCAGGTTCCCCAAGTTTTAGCCTCCCTTCCCCCCCCCCTCCCCCTCCCAGGCAGGAGCTCCACACTGGCTTTGGGGAATTAGCTCAGGATTTTAAGTCAACTTTCTAATGGCAGGGAGCGTCCCAACCTATGAGTAATAGCACAAAAATTAATTACATCTCCTCTGGACTGTCTTCATGATTCCTTTATAGCTGCTGCAGCAGAATTACCTTCCAAATTATATTGGACCCGGGTTATTAAAGTGACTTTCAATTCCCTGAGTATACAGAGTGCCAGCCAGCCACCCAGGCAGGGGAGCCGGAGGCCTGGAGGGCTCCTCCCGCCCCCTCTGCCCCACCCCGGGCAGCGAGGCCGCATGCAGATAACTGAGCACTGACTTGTTCCACCTCCAGCCAATCCATTTCCTTGGGTGTCTGGTATTCACTCCTGGACGCCCCCGGTTTCCAATACAAACCGACACTCGTTTAATACTCCAAACCCATTAGACACTTTCCCTTTCCCTGGCGAACAAAGGAGAAACATTTTCGCAGGACTTTATGGAAGCCATCAATCTCGGGGAGAGAATCCTCGTTCTCACTTATGCAAAGCGGAGGGCGGGAGGTGTGGGGGGACGTCCCCCTTTCCCTGAGCGGCAGCGGCGCCCGCACGGAAATCATGCATTTCTGCTGAAATTCATATTGGGAAATGGATTTCCCATCGGAAACATTGTTTTTCACTAAGAGAAGCTTTTAATCCCCTTAAGTTCCTTTCTAATCTGCCTTGGAAGTGCTCGTCTCGGGCACAGAACAGTGACGATGGAGCAGATTTAATTTATTGGGACGCGACAGCAGCCAGCCAGCCCGCAGAGGGTGGAGGGCGGCCCTCTGGGCGAGCGGGGCCATCATTCCCGGTGGGGGATGCGTGTCCCTCCTCCTCCGGAACCCAGGCCCCCGCACCGCCCTGCACCCAGGTTCCCATGTCAGCTCTCCGGGCTCTTCCTGGAGCAAATACCCCAGCCTCATGGGTCAATGAAGCCCTCTATTCCCTAAAGACCAGAGGAAGGTGGCCCCTGCCTGCTTGAGCAGCCCAATCCCCGGTGGGTGGGTGGGAGGGGCGAGGCGGGTGGGTGGGAGTAGAGACCGCCCAGCCTATAGGAGCCAGACAGTCGCCTCCCACGGCCCCGTCTCCTGGGTCACCTCAGAGTAGCGATGACCTCGATGGGCCAGGACTCAGAAGGGCAGGAGATGCAGGGCCATTTCCCCACACCCGAGCCCACTCCCCACCAAGGCAGGGCACCTACGCCAGTGGTCGGCAAACTGCGGCTCGCGAGCCACACACGGCTCTTTGGCCCCTTGAGTGTGGCTCTTCCACAAAATACCGACTTCTGCGCATGGGCCACGAAGTTTCAGTTGCACTGTACGTGCACGCCCATACGTGGTATTTTATGGAAGAGCCACACTCAAGGGGCCAAAGAGCCACGTGTGGCTCGCGAGCCGCGGTTTGCCGACCACTGACCTACGCCAACCATCCGGATTCCGTTTGCTCCGGGGAGGCCGCGGGGAGTCCATGCTGGTGGCTGGCGCTGAGCACGCTTGCACCGAGGCAGCTGGAGACGCGGGAGGGTGAGTCCGTTGGGCTGGGCCGGGCCCAGAGCAACCTGATGGCCCAGGTGGGCCCGCACCGAACTCCATGTCCCCTTCCGCTGGACAGAAAGCTGCTCCCTTAGCCCCTCAGCCCATGCGTGTTAACGTGCCCTTGCGCCCACCTTTGACGCCTGGGGGTAGCACTCTCGCAGCCGCACCGGGTGCCGATGGCCTCAGGACAGCGTCACCCTCCACGCTGGCTTTGCTGCTGTCACACGCGGAGTGACACGACCGTGGGCCAGAGCTTGGCCTCTGGAACCAGACAGTCCTGGGTCCACACCCCTGCTCAGGCACATCCACGGTAGGAGACCGCCCGTGCGTCATTCCACCGGACGGAGCTGCCGTCTTCCCAACTGGGGATGGGAGCGCGGCCGCCTCCCCCCTTAGCAGAACTCCGGGCCCCTAGGAAGTGCTGGTTAAACGTAAGGATTACTGCCTAGGTAGGTTGGCCCCTTCTGCTCCTTCATTCATTCATTCCACCGAAGGTTTACTGAGCACCTGCCGTGTGCCAGGCTCCGTGCTGGACACTGTGTGTTTGGGACAGGGGAGCGAGCAGGTGGGGGACGGGGAGGTGCCTAATAAAAATGATGGTGGAAGGAAGTGCAACGTTGCCTTCGTTCTCTCATTTAAATCTCACACACACGGGAGGTGGGGGTATCTGGAGGTGAACAAAGTGGGGGAGGTGGGGGGAGTCTGGAATAACGTCAACATTAACATGTTTCATCATAAAATAATTCCTCAAAAATTTAATAAATTACACACACATGAGATTCGGGGACTTTGTCCAATGCAAAGCTGAAAAAAGCTGGGATGTCTCGGGCAGCCCCCCTCCCACACTTTCCTCGAGTAGCGTTTTCTAGAAAACAGGATCCTGCCTGGTCAGCGTGGCTCCGTGGCTGCGCATCAACCTGTGAACCAGGAGGTCACGGTTCTATTCCTGGTCAGGGCACTTGCCCAGGCTGTGGGCTCACTTCTCACCAGGGGACGTGCAGGAGGCAGCCGATCCATGATTCTGTCATCACTGATGTTTCTATCTCTCTCCCCGTCTCCCTTCCTCTCTGAAACCCATAAAAATATACTTAAAAAAAAAAAATAGGATCCTGAATCCAGTCGATGTGGAAATGGAATAACACAAAACCACGTGCCCATGACCCCTGTGGGCCCAGGACCCAGCCCATTCCGTGGCGAGTGTGTGCGTGGGTAGGAGACGACACCCCACGCTCAGTGGGAACCGGGGTCTGCTGAGCCAGTCGGAAGGAGGCCAGGAAAGGGAGGAGCCTGGGGAGGGTGACACTTATTAAAAGCACTTGCTCGCAAGCCGAGCTCAGGCCCACATGGTGCCCAGCCCAGGCCCCGGCCCCGGCAGGGGTCAGTGCCCCGTCCTGACAGGCGTGAGCAGGGGAGTCTGGGCGGAAGATGGATGGGGGCGCGAAACACGGCCGTGACAGCGGTAATCCACACGCCCCGGGAGCGCAGGCTGGTCTTGGGGCCACTTCCCCACACTCTTTATGGGCCCGGAGTGAGGGGGAGGGAATTTTCATCATTTCAGACATAAATAACTCCGCCAACGGTGTCGAGATCAGACACCTCGAAATGAACCACTCCGGGCAACACAGAGCCCTGGCCTGGGCGCGATTTATTTCTCGGTGGCGGGGCTGCCTGCAGTCAGCGAGGCAGGCCCCCAGGACATGAGGCGCAGCCCCGGGCCCGGAGCGTGGAGCCTCGGAGAAGTCCCTGTCCTGCTCAGAGCGATGCCCACACCCCGCTCTCCTCTTGCTCAGCGGCTTTGCCCTCCCCAGGGGCTGCCCGCCTGCCCCGTTCTCTGTGGAGGGGAGAGAAAGGACCAGGTTCACGCTGTCTCATTTCCCACCACCCAAGCCCACAAGTGTGCCTGCTGCAAACCCCTCTCTTCTCTCTCTCTCTCTCTCTCTCTCTCTCTCTCTGGCTGCTGGATATAGCAGGAGACCTCCCTCCCCCCAGGGGCCACCCTCCACCTGGGCTCTGAGACCTGTTCCCTCCTAAGAGTTTGCCCTTCGAGCGACACACACTCCCTCTCCTCAGCATCCCCTCTGCCCGGATCATTCTCTCCTGCATCCAAACACCAAACCAAACCATCTCCCTTGGCCCCTCCTCTCTCCCCAGCGATGGTATGTCTTTCTAAACAACTCGCACCTGTGGCCTCCAAGCCCTGCCTCTACTTCTTCAGCCACATCCAGCTCAATGGCGCCAGCACGCCACCTACACAGCCCTCACGTTGGCCCATGACTCCGTGGTGTCCAACGCAAAGAGTCTCCTCTCTTCTCCTCTTACTTGACTTCTTGGTCAAGCCCTCCGTCCCTCCTGAGCCCCTTCCTTTGCTTGACAGCTTCTCCTCTCCTGGCTGCTGCTCCTCGGCCTGCCTTCGACCTTCCTTCTGCCCCCAATGTCTAGAGGCCGGAGGGCCCCTGGGGTCATCTCTCAGCCCTCTTCCTTCTGCTTTGTCCCTTCTGTCAGCGGGCTCCTTCATTCCCTGGCTGTCCATGTACGACAGACTTTCAAAAAGCAGAGCCTGGACCCGGAAAGCTCCCCTGAGCTCCGCCTCCCGTACCTGGACGCCTTCTTGGCATCCCCTTGGCCACCGAACAGGCGCCTCACCTTGGCGCTGCTACAACGAGGCGGTTTATGGAACAAGAAGCACCGCCCGCCCTTTAGGCTTGTGAAGGTGTGCACGCTCACTGAGCGCCCCTAAAACGCACATCGAGACCAGCCGAGTTCTTTTTCAGCAGCCGGTCGGCAGCGAGAGGTCAAAACACTGGAAAACACGCTGTGGGTAAGGATTCGAGGGAAAAGGTGCCTTTGTCTATTGTTAGGGAATATAAATCGGAATAATCCCTTTGAGGGTAAACAGTCAATATGCACGAAAATGAAAGCCACACATCCTCCTTGGCCTGCGTCTAAGAATGCATCTTGTCGCTACGTTAAATTAATCTATTCAATAAGTGTATTTACTTCCAGTAATCGTTACCCAATAGATAGTCACACGCCTGCACGTGGATGTCGAAAGCATTCGGGAAACCATCTACTCCCAGCAATTCCAGCGGTTCTCAACCTGTGGGTCGCGACCCCTTTGTGGGTCGAACGACCCTTTCACAGGGGTCGCCTAAGACCATCGGAAAACACATATAGAATTACATATTGTTTTTGTGATGAATCCCTATGCTTTCATTATGTTCAATTTGTAACAATGAAAATACATCCTGCCTATCAGACATTTACATTACGATTCATAACGGTAGCAAAATTACAGTAGTCCAGGGGGGCTTCCTGGAAGAGGTGGCATTGCAGCTGAGAGCTGAAAGGAGAGAAGCTCGAAAATAATTTTATGGTTTGGGTCACCACAGGAGGAACTGTATTAAAGAGTCACGGCATTAGGAAGGTTGAGAACCACTGAATTAGAGTCTCGCTGAGTAAGTGAAAGCAAGTTCCAGGGTGGGACAGCGCTTCATTGTGAAAAGAACGGAAGAAGCCTTCACAAGCTGATACAGAAAAATCTCCAAGGTATCGTGTTAAACGAAAAAAGAAAAATTAAGAGTGGCTCCGTTGGTCGGAGCATTTGCTCAGACACCAAAAGGTCTCAGGTTCGATTCCCAGGCAGGGCACAGACCCAGGTTGTAGGTTTGATCCCCAGCCAGGGCATGTGTGGGAGGCAACCGATGGATGTTTCTCTCTTTCTCTCCCTCTCCCTTCCTCTCTCTTTAAAATCAATGAAAGCATGTCCTCAGTTGAGGATTTTAAAAAAATAATAATTAAGGTGCAGAAAAGGTATAATATGCTACTATTGGTATTTGGAAAAGGGTGCTAGAGACCGAGGGACTCACACTAAAACACTTACATAAATACAAAATGTTATCGGAAGAAAACACACACAGCTTGTAATGGGGATTGCCTTTGGGGCCAGGGGACCAGGAGACTGGTTTTGAAGGGATGAGGATATGTTCTCTGTTTACTGTGTGTACTGTTGGAATTCTATTTTTCCATGTTCAGCTATTTCAGTTTCATTTTAAAAATAAAGTTATTTTTACTGTTATTTTATCATACCCTGGCTTCTTCTCTCCTCTCAGCTCTCAGCTGCAATGCCACCTCTTCCAGGAAGCCCCCCTGGACTACCCTCTCTATGTCCATCTCTCCTATATTTTTTCCCTTCTTCCCTGCCAGAACAGCTTCACTTTTAACCACTCTAAATATTTGGGGTTCCAAGATCTCTCCTCACCTCACCAGAGAGACTGCCCTGTGCCCCCCAGGTGAAATCATATCCTCACCACTGTCCCTCTCTAATCCTTCATCCTGCCTCTTTTTTCTTTTTCAATGCATCCATCAGCACCTGACATATTGCATCTATTTTTTTTAATTGTTTGCCCGTGACTTACCCTCATGAAGAGCAGGAATCTTGCCCGTTTCGTCCGAAACTCCACCCCCTGGGGCCGGAACCATGCGTGTCACGCTGCGGGTGTCCAATAAATATTTGTTGAATGGATGGATGGTTTCTCTGCAAAGAGAAAACAAATAAATAAAAAGACACTTAAAGGCTAGAAAATACACTATCCCCGGCTGTGAGTTTAAGGCGGGGTCTGAAATCGAGTTCCACCCCTGTCCAGGCTGTGTGGGCATCGGCTTGCTGAGCGAAGGGCCTGGGGACGCCTCAGAGCACCAAGTGATGGAAAGAAAATCGGGGACAAGAGGGAGCAAGCTCTACAGGAGACGCCGGGAGTGTGGCCCTGGGGGAGACAGCCACAGAGAGCAGACAGGAGTCTTCAGCAAACCCCCAGGCGGGAGCGCCTTCCCTAGAAGGTCAGGGCTGGAGAGAGCAGGGAAACGGGAGAATGAGAGGGAGGCCTTGGCCTGGCCCTCACCTGGGGGAGCTGAGCCCCAGCTGCCGATGGATGAGACACACAGGGTGTGGGAGGCAGGGCCAAGGGCAGGATCGCGGGTGCTCACACAGCCTAAAGCCCCGGGGGCCTGGCGAAGGGCGGGCGAGCCATGACTCAGCAAGTCCTGGTGAAAGGGCGAGTCATCGCGGGGCCTGACCACGCTGCTGGCGGCCTCGGGCACCGACTCCCCAGCCCACGGTGGGAGCCCGGCGCAGGCTGCCACCCGCCTGCCGCCCCTGGACCGGACCCACGCAGCAGCAGCAGCAGCAGCGGCGGCGGGGCGTGGCGCGTGCCCTCGCTCGAGGAGATGGAGGAGGCGGCGATCGCCAGCGCCCCCGGGAACGAGACGGAGGACGTGGACTTCCTGTCTGGGCTGGAACTGGTTGATCTGCTGGACCCCCAGCAACCGGACTGGCCCCTGGAGCCTGGGCTCAGCTCGCCCTTGGGGGGGCGAGGACTGCGCCCTCCATCTTGCCCTGGGTCCTCCAGTTTTGGGGCGGCCACCATGTGCTCAGGAGAGTGCCTTCTTCCCGGAAGCCCAGGCCCCTGCTGGCCACGCCCAGGAAACTAACCAATGACAATCAAGGGACGTGCGCGCCAGAGAGATGACCACATCCTGTGTAACAAGACCCGACTCGCGCCTCTAGCGCCTGGCCAATCGGCGGGGCCCACAGTCCCCTCCCCTGCCCTTACTATAAAACCCACAATCCCATCAGGCCTCGCTCTCTCCGCCGCTGGAGCTTACCGTTGCATCGGTGAGTGTGGCAGGGGAGCCAAACCTAGGTTTGAAATGAATGACTCTTTGCTTTTGCATCGGACTCGCTGGCTCCCTGTGGGGGTTTTTGGGAATCTTGAAATCTGGGCACAACACTGGGAGCCAGTGAGTTCAGTGCAGGGGCTTGGGCAGCGGGCAGACAGTGGGGCCACCAGGGACCCCCGCACCCACTGCCCCCTCAGGAGGAGAAGTTCTGGGTGGCATGAGGGCCAAGCTCCCCGCTGACTTCAGACAACAGTGTTCTGGGCCCTGGTGGGTCGGTGGTGGCCAGGATCCCGGGCCTCCCAGCACCTCCATTGTACTCTCAGGCTCAGCATGCCCTCGGGCCGCCTGCTGAAAAATTTACACTAAGAAACCCTCCCTAACTGGTTCGTTTGAAGGGTGCCCTCTGCACACCATCAAGGCAGCCCTGTTCATTAGCAGCCACTCACATCAAACCCGGGCGGGAAACGTCCATCACTCCGGGATTCACACGTGGGCACAGGCCTCCCCGGGCCCAGCGCTAACCACGCGGCTCCGTCCTGAGCGAGAGGAATGTGGTGTGGCTGCTTCTCGCTCAGGCTTCCTCCACCTTCTCCACCTCCATGCGCTGCCAGGTGCAATCCTTTGCTGGGGGCTGCCCTGTGCATCGTGGGAGGTTCCCCAGCCACCCAGGGCTCTACCTGCTGGATGCCAGCCCCACCTCTCTAGCTGTGACAACCAAACCCATCCTCAGACCATGCCAATGTCCCCGGAGTGCAGTGGACAACCGCTCTTCTCATTTCCTAGCCGTCTGAACAGCTGACCTGGGGAAGGAAAAGCCAACTCGGAAGAGACATTTCCAGAAGGTCTCCTACATGCCAGGCATGTGGGACGGTCACAAATCAGGGGTGCACGTGGCCCCAGGCATGTCTCTTGAATGACGGGACCAGCCCCTTGTCAGTTTCAAGGCTCCCCTTAGTTCCTTGTCAGTTTCAAGGCTCCCCTTAGCTCCTTGTCAGTTTCAAGGCTCCCCTTAGCTCCTTGTCAGTTTCAAGGCTCCCCTTAGTTCCTTGTCAGTTTTAAGGCTCCCCTTAGTTCCTTGTCAGTTTCAAGGCTCCCCTTAGTTCCTTGTCAGTTTCAAGGCTCAGCTATCCCACAGAGGGACCGGCAGGACTAGGTCCGGTGGTGTCAGAGGAGGAAGCCCCTCAGAGGAGGAGGCCTCGGAGAGCCTTGTTCTCGGCTCCTCCCGGGAATGGGTGTGGCGGGCCTTGCAGGGAGCTGAGTGGGTGTTCGGCGGTGGATCACGGAAGGTAATTACAGAGATCTCCAAGGAGCTGCGGGAGCCCCAGGCCCAGCCGAGCTTTCGCAACACCGGGCAGCCACGCAGCCACCGAGGGTGACGCGCTCGCGAATCATTGGCACCGAGCGCCCCCGGCTCCCAGCCTGTGCCAGGAAAAACAGAAAAGCCGACGAGAACAGCACGGTAGCGTGTATCACACCCTCCAGCGAAGGGCGGCCACCGTTCCCCCCACGGTGGTCTCTGAGGCTGACTGGGGGGCGTCGCGGGGTGTTGCTGAGACTGGCGGATGGGTTGTGGGGTGGGCAGGCAGGTGGGTAGGGAAGCCCCCGCAGAGGGGGTGGAGGAAGGCTGGAGGACTGAGATAGAGGGGCAGGGAAGCGCAGGTGTACCTCCTTTCAATGCACCGAGGGCCACCCAAGTGGCAGGGACATGCCCCTGAGAAGTTGGCACCGACAAAGGCCAGGGGCCCCGGAGACTTCAGTAGTGATGTCTCCAGGCCGTGGGTAGCAGGCTCTCTCCTGGCCGCCAAGGACTGCCCGTGTGCAAGGGGGCAGGAGAATTGGGGAACAGCCAACACTGTTCCCAGGTGCTGGGAGGCCTGGGAGGTGATAGACATGTAGCAAGCAGAGAACCAAGAAGCACATGTCCCAAAACGCGGCGCAGAGATGGTCTGGGCTGACTTAGGGACACAGTTTCCCCAACACTGACTCCCCGGGGAGAGAGGTGAGTCTTCTGATGAGGACCAAGAGAACCTGTTGGCTTGGTGCTGGGAGACCTTTCACACAGCTTCAACGTGGGGTCCTCTCTCCTTTTGCCAAGACAGAGCATATCTCTTGGCTCGAGCAACAAGGATAGCTGGCCAGAATTTAAAGGTACTGGCTTTTATTTTTCCTTCTAAAGTCAAATTTATCAAGGCAACATTTACATACAGTAAAACACGCTATTTTTTAGTGTCTCCTTCTATGAGTTTTGACCAGCGCATACAGTTGTATAACCACCAGAGCCATTAAGATATAGAACATTTGCCTGGCCGGCGTGGCTCTGTGGTTGAGTGTCAACCTAGGAACCAGGAGGTCACGGTTCAATTCCCGGTCAGGGCACAGGCCCGGGTTGCGGGCTCCATCTCCAGTGTGGGGCCTGCAGGAGGCAGCCGATCCATGATTCTCTCTCATCACTGATGTTTCTATCTCTCTCTCCCTCTCCCTTCCTTTCTAAGAGTAATAAAGTAAAAATATATATTTTTTAAAAATATATAGAACATGTCCATCACTTAAAAAGCCACTTGATGCCTTTTGAGGTCAACTGGGTTACCAGCTCCTTGGAAGTGGAAAGCTACCTGTTAACATCACACCTTCCCAGACCCACTAGTTGTATGCACAGAGTCGAATGTTAGCTGACGGTGTCGTGTTGGGAGGGGGTGGGAAATGGTTTACTACATGGAGAGAAAGAACTGAGCGATGGAGGGGGAAGTAGGATATATCAAAGGCAAATTCTGGGTTTGGGGGAAGGACGTTGGCCAGAGAGGAGGAAGGAAAGGGAGTCTGGGACTCTGGGGGGTCGGATTGTGCTGTATGGTATCTACAGTGAGTGATGTTTCAGTGAGGATTCTGGGCTGAAAGAAACCCACAAACTCAAAGCAAGCTCGTGTATGTAAAAAAGCGAAGGTATTTGTCCACCTTAATGGGACGTCTTCAGGAGTGGCTGGATCCAGCAGCCAGGTGATGTCACCAGGCCTCAGCCTTGCCTTTCTCCCTCTCGGCCCTGTTTCCCTCGGTCTTAACCACTTCCTCACAGTGGAGAGCTGGCCTTCAACACCCCAAGTTGGCATGTTCTCCTCCAGTCATCCCCCTGGAAAGAATGCATCTCTTTCCTGGTTATGCCCACAAGGGTCCTGGGACTGAATCTCTTTGAACTACTCTTGAACTGTATGGTTAACGCACTTACTGTGGCCAAGGGGTTAAACACCCTGATTTCCCAGACCTGGGTCACATGCCCACCTTCCCACCAATCACTGGGGCTGGACCAGGGCTGCCCCTGAACCAATCCCTATGGACAGTGACCTTGACTACTCCGATCGGCTGGTCCTAGGGCGCCTGCTGACCTGGAAGTGCTGAGCCATCCCCCTTTGTCCCAGGTGGACTGAGTGTGAGAGAGGGAAGGGCAGGTGTCTCCGGAAGGAAGCGTAGAAACCAGCAGCCATTGCTCACACCATGGGCAGTCGGGGAAAGAAGATTCCAGAACAGGCAGTGACGTGCTGAGGACAGCGTTTTTGGAAATCTCACTGGACAGCCAACCTGGTGTCTCCCTGCCTTACCCAGATCACGTGACCCAGGCCTCCCCCAGCCAACGCCAGCTCCGGCCACTCCCCTGGCCCAGGCCAAGCGGGCCCCACACTGCTTCCCTCCCCCCCGCCCCCTCCTGGCGGGAGGTCTGAGAGCTGGCACTGCCCCGGCCGCCCCAGGGCCCCAGCACCCACTGGGGCCAGGAGCCCTGCTCTGGAGGCTGACCAGCGGGCTCCCCCCGCCTCCCCGGCCGCTCCCTCCAGCCCCACAGCCGCTCCAGCTCGGCCTAATCTGGGGAACAGGTGGGAGGCTGGGCCCCGACTCTCGGCTTTCACAGCCAGGAGCACAGCAAGGGGAAAGTCATTACATGGGTTTAACGGGGTTTAAAGGCGTTAAACAGTCCTGTGGGCCAAATTAAGGGGCCTCCGCTTACAAGCCGAGTCATGAAGAGATCTGAGGCGTGGAGCCCCACGTTGGGGTAACCCAGTCGCAGTGAGGAAAACGTGAGTCCCGAGGAGTTACCCACTGGAACAGCGGTTCTCAACCTGTGGGTCGCGATGCCTTTCGCGGTCGAACGGCCCTTTCACAGGGGTCGCCTAGGACCATCCTGCATATCAGATATTTACATGACGATTCATCACAGTAGCAACATGACAGTGATGAAGCAGCAACGAAAATAATGTTATGGTTGGGCCACAGCATGAGGAACTGTATTTAAAGGGCCAGAAGGTTGAGAACCACTGCCCTAGAAGGAACTACCAGGTGCTGGACGCTGGGGACTGGCCGGGGCTGGGATGGAGAATGCCAAGGGCAGGGCTAACCCTTCCTTCGGAAGCCGCACGCAGTACCGGGCACGGTCAGCCCAGAGGCAGCATGTCAGATAAACCAAGGTATCGGAAGGTCTGCCTCAGGCTGGGCACTGCACGGCTGTTAAACAGGACGGGACGTGTCTGTACGAACTGACACGGGGGGTCTCCACGCACTAGGGCTAGGTGAGAAGCGAAAATAAACGCCACGCGGAACTGTGTGTACAGTAAGCCGTCGTGTTTACACGCACCCGCCAGTTAGGGCGAACCATCTGGCACTTCCATTTTTGTAAGTCAAAATATTTATGTGTCGGTCCTACCTCTGTCTACATCACTTCCATGCTGGTGTAGACGGAGAGTATCTCTGGCCGTGTACGCAAGACACTGATCAGCACAGTTTATACCAGCGATTTTCAACCTTTTCATCTCATAGCACACATGAATGAACTACTAGAATTCTCTGCCATGCCAAAAGTATATATATTTCATTTTTTTGGCCAATCTGACAAAGAAACATAGGTATAATTTTGATCCATTCACACCAGACGGCTATTGTCGTGTTGGCTGCTGCCTTTTTTTTTTTTTGATTTGACAATCTAAAGGAAAAGAGGTCTGTGCCCCTGGGTAAATAGTCAGGTACTGCATGTTGTAAACACGCTTGCGGCACCCCAGTGTGCCTGCCACGGCGCCCCAACTGAAAATCGCTGCTCTAGAGACACCCGGTGAGACTGGGGTGTCAGGAGTGGGAGACAGAGTTACTTTCCAGTGCATAATCTTTTGTGTCACTAGAATCTTTTAAGTCCTCTGCCTATCTTATCTTTTGGGGGAAATATTTCCTGAAATCTATCGGGTGCTGTCAGTATGCAAAGTGTGTATTTGGGCATCATCACCCCACTCAGTCCTCACAACACTCGGGGGAGGTAAGCACCATCGACAGTCCCATTGTACAGATGAGGAGACTGAGGAAGAGAGGGTGAGTGGGTGACCAACTCAGACCAGAACCTCCAGGGTTCCGCCCAGGGCCCCTCCTAAAACAGCCTCTGTGAGCCCAGCAATCAAATCAGCAAAGGGCTCCTCTCTCGCTTTGCCTGGGGGAGATGGGCGAGGCTCAGGGCCAAGATGCGGGCTCAGGAGTCAGCCTCCATCATCCGTAAAAGGGGAATAGTAACCACGAGAAGACGAACCCTAGAGTCAAACCCTGATCTGCTGCTTCCAGAAACCAGGACCTTCCCAATCCTCCTTGCTCCTTCCTCGGGAGGTGGCGGCTGGAGTACCTCCCGGTGGCGGCTGGTTTCCCTCTGGGCTCTAAAGGAGCTTACGAGCGCGTTTCCAACAGTTTGCAGCTGCGAGGCAGGTCAGAGGGACCAGGGAAGTGTCTGCTCCTTTTTTTTTTTTTTAAATCCTCACCTGAGGCTATTTTCCCATTGATTCTTAGGGAGAGCAGAAGAAAGAAAGACGGAAACATGGACGCGAGAGGAACACATGGATTGGCTGCCTCCTGCACGAGCCCCAACCAGGGCCCGGCCCGGGAGGTGTCTGCAACCAAGGTTACGTGCCTTTAACTAGAATCAAACCCAGGACCCTTCGGTCTGCAGGCCAACACTCTATCCACTGAGCCATACCGGCTAGGGTTGAAGTGTCTGCTCTTAACCCAAGGACCCACCTCCATTGCTCCTGGAGCCCAGAGGAGGGCAGGAGACAACAGCGGTGACCTTGAACTCTGACAAACCTACCCACTCCCTCTCCCCAAGGTCATTGGCTGGAGCAGGTGTCCCTGTGCTGGCCTGTTAGACAACACTTTCTAGAAAGAGAGTCTATGGCATCACCCAAGAGGCAGAGTAAACAAGTACTCAGGGCACAAAGCTAGTCACTACGCTCCCCCCTCCCCCCTCCCCTCCCACATAAACTAAGGCCTTGCTGTTTGATTTTTTTCATGAAAGTTGCCATCCTGCAGAAAATGAGAATTTTGACGGACACATTGCATACATATAGCAGAGGACCCAGGGCCTCCATGTCCGTTAGGGCCCTCTCAGCTGCTATAACAAAGAAACCCGCAACATGTGTGACAGTCCCAACGCCATAGAACATGGTTTCTCACCAGGACAGGCTGATGCAGGTGCCAGGTCAGGGCGCGGCCCTGCTCCAGGCGGTGGCTCCGAGACCTAGGCTTCTTCCGCGGGGTGCGCGGCCGTGTTGAACAGGCGGCTCCCCCCGTCACGGTCACCATCGAGCTGCAGGGGGGAAGCGTGGAGGACGCGTGTGGGCGGCGTTTCCGGGCCGGGCTGAAGGCCGTGCGTATCTGCTCAAGGTCCATTGGCTACAGCTCAGTCACATGGCGCCGCTAATTTCCAGCAAGACTGGGAGCTGCAGCCTGGGAGGGGGTCGCAGGCTTGGCAAATGGCTGGCCGGCCTCTGAACTACCCTCCAAAGGTCTTCATCGGACCCTCGAGGAGAAGCTGGTTCATTCCCAACCCTCGGCCAGATACAGGGCAGAGAAGGGGCCGTGTCCGCCCCCCCGTTAGGTAGCTGAGAAGAGGGAATCTTCGGTAAAGGATGAGTGATTAAAAACGTCTTTAAATGTAATGTGTTGTCTTAAGGAGAGGATAAACTCTCGAAACATAAACTTAGGTGAGAGGGAAGGGATTTCTTTCCTTCCAAATCCTTTCATTTCCTAAGTAGTTGCTTGGCACCTACTGCAAGCCAGGCTTTCAGTTAGCCACCAGGGATGGGAGGGACGGCTGTCACGGGGCCCCAGTTTCCGGAGGGAGACAGACAGACATCAGTCAGGAATGGCATAGAGCCCTCGCTGGTGTGGCTCAGAGGATAGAGCGTCGGCCTGCGGACTGAAGGATCCCGGGTTCGATTCCAGTCAAGGGCACATGCCCCGGTTGCATGCTTGATCCCCAGTGGGGGGGCGTACAGAAGGCAGCCGATCAATGATTCTCATCACTGATGTTTCTATTTCTCTCTCCTGCTCCCTTCCTCTCTGAAATCAATAAAAACATATATATATATATATATATATATATATATATTTTTTTTTTTTTTTTTTTTTTTAAAGGAACGGCATAGAAGCATGGTCCCAGGCTGGCTCAGTGTGGGTTCCTCCAGGAGTCGCTCTAGGGACCAGGGTTCGAGGGAAGATGGTGTCAGGAAGGTGAGCCCAGGAAACACCAGCAGGGCGGGGAGGAGGACAGTAAGGTGTGCCTCTTCCGGCCAGTTACCCGGGGGCAGCTGGAGCGCACCGCCTGGGGAGCTCTAGGGAGCTCTGGGGAGCCCGCAGAACACATGCTCCCACCGGAGGGGCCAGGGAGCTGGAGCACTTACACACAATCATCCCCAACCTTGGCAGATGCTAATTTCCCGGCACTCCGGGCCTGGTGTGCCAGCAGGCACAGCGCACCCCACAGCCAACAAAACGGGGGGCAGAGGTTGGCAGGCGGAGCTGGGCCTCCAGCTGACACGGACACGCTGAGGGCCACGGGCTCTGGCGTCACCCGCCGCCTCGCCCAGGTGCCCGGCATGAGAGATGCGGAGGCAGGGAAATGAGGGCCAGGTGGTCGGGCAGAGCTGCAAGGGGTGCGGGCTGTGAGGCCAGAGCTCCCGGCTTATGGCCACCAGGTCCCCAGCTCTCCGCCTCCATGTCCTCATCTTTAAAAGGGTCTGATGGCCCTGACTGGTGTGGCTCAGTGGATAGAGCGTCGGCCTGCAGACTGAAGGGTCCCAGGTTCGATTCCGGTCAAGGGCATGTACCTTGGTTGCGGGCACATCCCCAATAAGGGGCATGCAGGAGGCAGCTGATCGATGTTTCTTTCTCATCGATGTTTCTGACTCTCTATCCCTCTCCCTTCCTTTCTGTAAAAAATCAATAAAATATATTTTAAAAAAAATAAAAATAAATAAAATAAAAGGGTCTGATAATGCCTTGGCTGTACACCTGCCAGGAACACAAAATAATATTGAGCACAAACCATAACTGAAAAGCAAAATGAGCCCGGCCAGTGTGGCTCAGTGGTTGAGCATCGACCCATGAACCAGGAGGTCACTGGTTTGATTCCTGGGTTACAGGCTCCAGCCCCGGTGGGGGTAGTGCAGGAGGCAGCCGGTCCATGATGCTCTCTCATCATTGATGTTTCTCCCTCTCTCTCTTAAATCAATAAAAAAAATTTTTAAAGAAAAGTAAAATTCAATAAACAGGATAAATGAGAGCCGCTGCCTCCTGGGAGGCCTGGGAAGATTAAATGGGACAATTCTTGCAGCGGTTCTCAACCTTCCGGCCCTTTAAATACAGTTCCTCATGCTGTGACCCAACCATAACATTATTTTCGTTGCTACTTCATCCCTGTCATGTTGCTACTGTGATGAATCGTCATGTAAATATCTGAGATGCAGGATGGCCTTAGGCGACCCCTGGGAAAGGGCCGTTCGACCGCCAAAGGGGTCGCGACCCACAGGTTGAGAACCGCTGCTTTATAGGGTTGGGGGGTCGGCATTGGGTTCTCCTCGCTTTCTCTCTCTCCCTCAGAAGCAGGTGGCTTCCTCTCTCAGCCCGTCGCCACGTGGTCACAAGTCACGTGGCACGGTGGGCCTCTCCTCTGGAAACCAAACTTCCCATGCCCCGGGGGCTGGCAGGCTCCCGGCCGCGCCGGCCTCTGCGCGCAGTTGATCCCGCCGGACACTGGATAGCCCGCTTGGACGTGATGGCATCCACTTCCCTGCCTGTCGGATTCCAGGGCCCGGCCAGTTCTGAGCACCCGGCCCGGGGAGAACAATGCCCCCTCTGTTCCCCGCAGCCATTCATGTCGACTTCGGTTTCACTAACATAACACCGGGGAGAGGGTATTTTCTTAACACCACCCGGCCCTGCGGAAAAGGTGCCGGACGGTGGCTGCTCCGTCCCCGGCTGGTAAGGACGCGGGGATGTATCGGGGAACCGCAGCTCCTGCAGGGCCGGGGTGACCCCGGGATTAGGGTCGCTCTTATCTCCCAAGACATCTCGGAGCGTCTGGGATTCCATTTCCCCACGGAGGCCCCGGGGCTGCGGTGATGGGATGTGCCTGGGGGCGAAGGGGACCGTTCCTGCTCAGGGCTGGAGTGGATTAGGGCTGATCACTCGGCCTAAAGCGGGGACATCTGAGAATGTTGAAGAAAGAAAGGCAGGGGATTCCGCAAACCCAAACAAACATGGACTTCAAGGCGGGCTTGGGCACGACACGTTTTAAAAGGCCCGCCTGGGTGAAGCGGGGTCCCGGGGCGAGGGGGCCCCCCGAGCCAGAAACCCCCCCAAAATCTCGGGCCAGCCCGCCGAGAACGGCTCTCGGCCCAACCTCCGAGCAGCTTCATCCATCACCTCGCGGCAGCTTTATGCCAAAAGGTGCTATTAAAAAAAAAAAAAATTAAATTAAAAATGGACTTGTCCAAAGGAGCCTTAAAAAAAAAGTCCCAAACCCACCACTTTCTTTATTAAAGTTCACAGAAAATAAATATCAAATTTCTTTCAGCCTGAATGTTTCCCTCCAACTATAATCACCGAAACTGGAGATGGAGAAAAGAAAAAGGTAGGGGCGGGGGGGGCCCTCTCGGGTAACGTTTTCTATAATTTTCGCAGAAACACTTGGTGGCTGGGGTCTTTGCGAATCCACGTTCCCATCTGCCCCCGAGAAATCCAACAGAACCCCGCCGACGGGTTGCTGAGAGCAGGGCCAAGTCCAGAAACGCCTAAAAATGGTGCCGAGAAACCACCACCAAACCAAACCAAACACGAAAGCAAGCTCCCTGTAAGGTCAGCCCCGTCGCGCCCTGGAACGGAACTTCCTCCCCGATTCACTCTCCAAAAACCTCAGTGGCGATTTCATCAGAAACAGATCTCACGCCCTCGCGCTGCTCCCGGGGCCGCTCTGGGTCCCGGCTCCCTGGCTCCCTTCACAGGCGTCTGTTTGGGGTGCTTGGCGAGAAATCATAACAGATCGGGTTCGAATCCTGCTCCTGGAGGGGAAAAAAAAAAAGTCGTGCCCTCCCCTTGCTTTCTCAGGGTAACTAGAGGCGACACAAGTCACAGAGCACCCTGACTCCCTGAAAGGGCCCCAAACCTTGGGCGGAAGCTCCGTGGAGGTGGCCTGGCCACTGGGGCGTTGTGGGAGGGTTACCGGCTGCCACCGAAGTGGGCTCCGTGTGACTTTGGAAGAGACTCAAGGAGACTGCACGTGTCCCCGAAGCCGAAAGGAACCATGTCAGCCCCCCTCCCCTCCCCTCCCTTCCCCTCCCCGCCTTCACCCCCTGGACCTTGGCAGGGCTGCCTGCTTTTCTCACTAACCCTAACGAAGCCACTTAAAAAGAAAGTGAGGGGGCCGCGCGGGGCAGTCTTCGTAGATCGCCATCAGACCCCGGCCACAAATGGTTCCAATTTGCCGCAGTGATTACATCTGTGTGCGCTGGAGGGTTTTCATGCAGGTTTGCCCTTTGGAGTTGTGCTGCACGCCTGGCTAAGAAGCGAACCGGGGAGGCCCCGGCCGGCGCGGAGGCGGGAGAAGGTGACGACACCAACCCCAAGCAGGGCTTAAGTGGATGGAGGACAATCGAGACCCCGAATCCTCGCTGTGGATCTGAGTGCAGAGGGATTAGAGCCGCCTGGGTGCCAGGCGGGGCCGCCCCGAGCCCCCACCGCAGCCTGGGATCAAAGCAGCAGCCACCAGTTTGTCAATACGCTAAGCGGCGTGTTTACACAAAAGTGTCAGCGCGTGCTTCTCGCCACAAAGAGGTTCCTACGCTGGGAGATTAATGACTTCCAAAACAGATCTCAGGTAAACCCCGGCCTGCAGGGCCTCGCCTCCTGGGGGGTGTCTGCTGGGCCCCGGGATGAGACGTGTGGCCAGAGGCAGAGAGTGGGGGCCCGGCCCTGAGACGGTGATGGAGGCCCATGTCCACACCAGCACTTCATCTGAGCACAGGTCTCTGATTGGCATTCACCTCCTGGGGGATACACAGCCTGGATGCCACATGGCCCAGAGCCTGCGTGTGGCATCTGGAGGAGAGAGACGGTATATTCCCCAGAGCCCTCCCTCCCCCCCCCCCCGCCACCCCCGACCCCAACCCCGTGGAAATCAAAGCCTTGATATCCGAGTTGGGCTCTACCAGCAGGTAGTGAGCTGCCCATCATTCTTTTGTCTTAAAAGTGCCGATGGCCCAGCCAGGGGTGGGTGCTGCCTGGAGACTCCATGGTGTGGCGAATGCA